CTTTTTTTATTTTTTGAATAATTTTCTTTGAGTGATAATATGTATAAATTATAGAGAAAAAAAAAAGAAAAAAAAATTAATTGGGTCAACCCGCAGGTTGACCCGTGACCCGTTATGGGCGGGTTAAGCTCTACCTTCATTAACCCGTGACTCGTTTTAACCCAACTTGTTTTGACCCGTTACCCGTTCTGACCCGACCCTAACCCGACCCAATCCGCCCGTTTACCAAGTCTACATTCAGCCCATAATCAACTCCACCCTCTACACCACAATTTTAACCGCCGAAACTACCGTACATTGCTCTACAACCTTTGACAGCCCACTAAGCCCCCTATTTCTTATTTATTTAATTAATAATCCCTAACAATTTCCAATTATTTTAAAAATCCCCATCCCAAGTTTTTCGTTTGCGCGAGCAATTCCCAATTTCCAATTTTTAATTTCCAAATCCCTATCTGCAATTCTGTATTTGTGCTAGCAATCCACAATAAGGGTTGACAGTTAAAGCGAAAACTAGCTGTAGCCTCCTTTTTCAAACTTCAATCTAACGACCCAATCTGCCAATCCAATTACTACCATTTGGCTAAGTACTTCCCCATCCTCCTTTGATGGTTATCCCTACAAATTGATCAAAACTCCCCATAATTTCCTACTCTACAAGCGTTGATGGTTGAACGGTTCGACTCCACTCCAAGTGCTTTCCCAATCCTTTATAAATACTCTTCTTTTTTCTTTGCAAAAATCTTTTACATTTTTCTCAACTATTATGCCACCCAGCTTGAGAGAGTAGGTAGTTTGACAAATAATAATCTCCAACCACTAAATGTCATATAAAAGAGGAGATACATTAGTTTGAAAAAGAGATATAGTCTCTTTCATAAATCACTAAAGTCATATCAAAATTAACTTAAGAGATTTTGAGTCCCCATGAATCCCATCAATATGTATTAGTCATAATCGAAATAAATGTCATAACTAATTTAAGACTGGGTAGCCCTGTCATTACATTGCCATTTTCTTCAAACTAACATAAAATATTATGAAAAATATTGAAAAAAACGCATGCAAAGTCCCCAAAAAAAGGAGACAAAATAATGCTATGGAAGAAAAAACTTTTACATTTATTCATTCTTTCTAACCACTAAGGAAAAAAAGGCAAACACTTATATTTAACCCATTACCTTATAAAGTTCATTGCTTTTCATCCCTCACTTAGGGATTAAACTATTATTTTCTTGAACTTTGGGGATTGATCTTATAATTTTTTAATTTCATTTAATGAAAAGTTAACAAAGAACTAAAATCTTTAAATTCTTAAATTCATGAACTAAAAATTTCAATATGTAAAATGAGCAGTTAAAAATGATGAACTTCACAACATAAGGGACTAAAGATAAAGTTTTGCCGGGAGAGAGAGGCCATAGCTAAGGAAAGAGGGGAAGCAAGAGAGGGAGAGAATTTTTGCAAGAGAGAGGCTAGGCTGCTCGGCATTTTTCTTTTTTTTTTTTCGGCTCGTCATGCCTTTTTTTTTTTCATTAAACATGTTTATTTAAAAAAAAATTGTTGCAATTTAAATTATATAACGTTAATCATTGAATAGAAAAATGGTTTTTGTTTTGCTCTTAATCTAATGTTACTACATTTTTGAGAAGCAAAACTAAGGTTCTCATTTGCGGTTGCATGATACTAGGAGCATATAAAATGAGGGTTCTTTCCTAAAAGAAAACAGAGTTAGAACTTGGAGGCCATTGGAGCAATTTCCTAAATAGGGCTGATCTCCTCTAAGGGGCAAAACAAATTAATAGCTGATGTCGGACACCCGTCAGCAATAACTGAATCCAAGGATTTTAAGCATCTCTTTTGTATGATTAGTGTTTTTAATAAAAATTTTGTTTAAAAGAATTTATTGTAAAAATTTTATTTTTGAGAAGTTAAAATTATTTAGTAAAATTTTATATGGAAGTACTTTTAAAATAAAAAGCTATTTGGTAAATTTTTTATAAAAGAATTTTTAATCTAATATAATATTAAAATGATTAAAATAGATATTATTTACTTACTAAAACACTACTCCCACTTTATTTTTTATTTTTTATTTTTATAAAACTTTAATTTTTTATAATAATTTTAAAATTGATGATTAAAAATTAATTTTAATATTAAAAAATGAACCATACTACATTTAAGTTACGTAAATAAAACAAAATAAATGGAACATTTTTTGGTAGGCATATTAAGATAAATGATTTTTTTGCAAAAAACAGAGATTATTACTATTAAAAGCTAATTACATTGTTCAAACTTTATGTACAATACATCACAAAACAAAAACAGTAAAATCAATCAGTGAGCTTAAACACTAACTAAAAGATAGGTGGGGCAGGCAACCCATCCTTATCCAGTATTATATCATATTTTAAACGAGAAAATTAAATTGCTAAACTAAAGCATTAACTAAAGTATTGTATGATGCTTCAATTCCACTAGAGCCTTCTATGCCTCCATGTTGCCTTGCCCTCCATGTTGCCTTGCCCTCCATGTTGCCTTGCCCTCCATTTCCCTACCACACAATCAAATTAAGAAGCCAATTAAAGAAATCTTTATCACTATTTTTTTTAGATTGTGCTCATGCGAATAATCCTTACTTGCAAGCATGGATGCAATCATACAGAAGTTAACTTTAAGGTTGCTTTCTTACTAACCTTTTCATTGCATCAATTCTGCTCATCTTCATAAGAATCCATTGCTTAGTAGATATTATTGAAAGCAACCACCGCACCATAGGCAGATTTGACTCCACATCCACCTAAAAGTTTATCCAAATAAACTAAATAAGATATGATCCTTGTAAAAAAGTGGAAATAAGACATCATCCACCTAAAAATTAAAAATTTATTCACTTAAAAATTTTTATATCTAAAATTCATATTTTTTTATAAATTTTAAATATAAATATTCTATTTTATTTTTGTATTTTATTTTAATTAAATTTAATAAAAAAAATTTATAAAAAATTAATTATAAATATTATATTTAATAAAACTTAATCTATATTCTAGAAGTACAATATTAAAAAACTCTTAATGAGATAACAAAAACCAAAACTCTAAATTTTGTAAATCTACACACTTCCCAAAAGAAATTGCGGTAGTTCCACATTGTTGGCACATTTATTTATTTATTTATTTTTAATATGAGAAAATTTTGGGGGTAAAGGGTGCTGTTTCAATAATAGATGAGATTAGAACTCTTAACCTACATTTAATAAGTCTTTTGGCTCGGTGGGTGAGTCAATAGGTCTTATAAGTTAGCTCGGCACTTATTTAATTAATTAGCAAAAAAGTTATTTAATTTATTATTGAAATGAATTTGATTGATATTTGCTACCAGGAGCAGTGCTAGGCGCATCGCTCTAGCACTCTCTTGTGGTAACCCGCCACCATAATTTGCCACGTTGCTCACAGTTTTAATATTTACTAATAACTGGCTATACTTGTTAACTTAAAGGGGTCCACCCACAGCCTTCTTCATCCTCTCCCCGTCTCGGACTTTCCATTTTTCTCTCCTCTCCCAGTGCTATCTACCTTTTCCAGAACCAGAACAGGGGTAGTTGGATTGAAACTCAACCCAACTTCATCAAAATCTATTTTGAGATAATCTTGCTATTTAATTATTCCTAGCGGTGATATTTCTATGAAAACTTACGAAAATATCGAGCCTCAAATATATGAAATTACTAGAAAAAAGGTTTGAAGAAGTGCATTTGGCCTTGGAAACTCGAAAATTTAAAACTTGTCAAGCATCGAAGACTAGAAACCCAGATACAACCAAAAAAACAAGAAAGAAAAAGGATCTAATGCTTGAGGCTTCCTATATACTTGATTTCCTTCTTATTGCAAGCCTATCCACCTTTCTCTTCGCTTATTTATTCTTATGTGCCAATCCTTAAGCAATAAATCTTGTTTATTAGTTTGCATCTGAGTTTCTGGACTCTCTATCCCTCTATTGATAGAGCTTAAAAGTTTGAGAATTACTTGAAAAGAAAAGATCCGAACAGCAAGAAGAGCTCACCCACGGAAAATTTACCTTACCCAATAATTTACTTAATTTTAGATCTACTATGAGGCAGAGCAAGGAAACCATTTCTCTTATATGGTGAACATGACCGATGATGAGAGGAGAGAAAAAGGAAATTTTTGAAGAGAACAATAACAACAACTAATTAGTGAAAGGGGGAAAAAGGAGAAAGAAATCCCATCAAAGACAAACTATTTGTCCTTCTGAAAAGGTTGAAAACCGGCTTTTCTCAGTTATTAATCTTGGTGCCTAAACCTTTCAACTTTTTCACCACGTATCATCTTTTAAACAGGAATGTGTCCGAGCGAGTGCCCTAAGGAGCCAGTGTTCCTCGCACAGCTCTTTCTAAATTGATGTTTTGCCTGAATCGCGATAATGTCAATTTCTTTTGGGTTTTTTTTTTTTTTAATTTAGATTACAGTGTTCTCAAGTTAATATTTTTTAGATTTTAAGATAATTTTTTTTAATAATTTTAAAGATATATTTTATTTAACTTAATGCATTTAAAAATTTTAATTTTCTTAAATGTTAGTTTTAAAACTTAAATTTAAATTTGACTTATAAAATAATACATATTTATTAATAATTCAATTTTGTATAGTGAGATTTCTTTTAACAATTATTATATAAAAAAGTGTTCCTCAACTTTTAAATTCATATCAAAATTATTTTTAAAATTTAAAAAGTACTACAATTATTTTTATATTTTAATTTTCATACCAAAATAGTTCTTTCATTAACAAAATTACCACGATGACTCATTATCTTATCATAAAATTACTTTTTTTAAAATATTAATGACATGTACAATAAACAATCATATTTTTTATACTGTAGCATTTATTCATTTACACATCAGAATACCTTGAACTTTGATTACAAATATTAATTTAGTCTTTCAATTTTAATGTCATAATAGTAAAATATGATAATTTGATTTTACATGTCATTAACATTTTAAAAAAGAACTAATTTTATGACAAAAAAGCAAGTCACGTGATATTTTTATTAATAGAAAGACTATTTTAGCATTAAAAATTAAAGTTTAAGGATAATTTTAGTATTTTTTGAAGTATAATGACAATTTTGATATAAATCTAAAAGTTAAGGGACTAAATTGATATTTTGACCTCAAGTCTTTCCACAGACCTGCACTTTTTTTCTACCTGAAAATCCACTTCCTACTTGATGATACTGCATATCAGCATATATGTGGTGGACTCTTGACAGCAATCAACTGGTATTTTTCATGAGAACATAATCACATCAAACAATACAAAGTGGAATTAAACAAAGGCTACATTTTCTTACTCTTCTGCATAATTGGGGCGTGAGGATGCATAACAAAACCGGTTAAGTAGGCTTCTATGCCATGAATGATCTCAAGTCAACAACTACAGCAGCTATCTAAAACACAAGATAGATTGTACTAACCTGATGTTACTCAGAAATGACAGACTGTGCTTCTAGCGAGGCTGCTGACTTGTCTGTGAGGATGAAGCCACAAGCTATGAACTACCAGATTCATCAGTGCTAAAACTCAAGGACTTGTTGATGCTGCTACCAGAACGTGACAAGTTTTTGACTACCTTATCTTTTACAGATTGTGAATGAACATGCTTACGCAATCCATCTCGGCCTGCTGGATTTGGAGAAAATAAATTCATCTGTCTTTACTAACACAACCAAAATCATTATCCTTTCTAAATGAAATTATGACAGCTGCTACAGCTTGTTCTTATTTCACATGGACCATGGAGACGTGAATATCTATAGTTGTCCTGCTTACTTCCCGAGCCCTCTTGCTACGGCGCCAGGCTGAAGAAAGACGTGCAGCTGCTTGGTTGCGTATAGCATCCCAATTGCGTTTCATGTCCCTAGCTTGGAGGGCAAAGGCTTCCACTTTAGTAAGGGTTTGAATGGATCTGCTTGAGACGGGGAGAGGCGGTGAGTTGGAATCCTGAACCCATTCTACAAGTTCCTCTCCACAAAAATCACCATCTTTTAAGTGAACTATTTCATTACTGCTGCTGCTGGAGACTTGTAATTTGCCTTCAACAATAAATAGCATCTCATTAACTCTGTCTCCTGTCTCAATAAGGTGACTGTGCTCGATAAATAGTACTGGTCTGACACAAAAACACAGTGCATCCAACAGTTTTTCTCCCTTCGAACAAAATGACTTCACCTTAATACATAAACAATTAGAACGAGAACAACAATCATAAGAAGGTCATTGCAGAAATTCTTAAACTAAGAAAAAAAGGCGGCAAAATTCTTGCATGGACAGAAGGAGCTCACTTTTTTGAGCAGCGTTAGACAGAGCTCCCTCTTGATATCTTTCGTTAATTCCTTGGGAAGATTTTGTAGCTGCTTCTCTACATTAACACCTCTGGTGTGATGCCATGTGTACTGCTGATGTTCATTTACTTTCCTCCGAAGTTTACGAGGAAGCTTTTTGAAGGGTTTCCATTGCTTTATTTCTCTTGTGGCCAAACGCATCTCCTCTAATTTCATAGTTTTACACTGAAGATAAATCTGTTTCACAAAGTACAAAAGTTCATGTGGCAGATTTGGTATCTCTACATCTTTTATAAAGAAAGGCTCTAGATCAGACATAATGTAGAAAAGGGATTTAAACCCCCCAGAGTTGAGTACAGTATTATCCTACAGCATCAAATGGCTACAGCACCATTAATCCAAAGGATAGATGATGCTTTGAGAATTGAAAGGGTCAATGATAGCATGTTACTAACAGTCTAGGCAGAGTAGTGCATGAAAATGGTCTGTGCACCAGATGTGTATTACAATGACATGAAGGTGAACTGTGTCCTTTCAAGTTTCAACTCTGAAGTTGTCTTCAATATTAACTCAAATAATTAACTAAATTAATAGTAGAATATTTGACACCAACCTGCACATTTCCGATGAGAAACAAGAATAGCACCAAGCCAAAGATTGAAATGAACACTGCAAAGCAGTTCTCCCAGATATATGTACTTGTTTGTAGATTTTGGCCAAAAGAACTGGAAAAATTGCATCAAATAAAGCTGTTTATATGATATGAATTGAAACATTAACTTGTCCATTAAATAAGAATATTTTTAACCACCAACACTCATAAAACAGAATCAAGAATTGGATATGCTACTGAAAACTAAGTGGAACATCCACATTAAAAGAACCTGTGAAAGACTAAAACGACTTCCGGACCTTTATAGTTAATGATTATTAATAACGAAAACTAGGTGAGCTTAAGGAGGATATTTGCCTCAGCTACAAGATCTAATGGTTTGGGAAGGTAATGTTAATTGCCATTTGCAACAACTTATTTCGTGGACCATATTTCCCACCATGTTTAATGGCTCTATATGTCCATGTCTGAGAGTCTTCCAGCACCAGCGAATTGCCAAGAAAGGATGCAACAAGCATGAGCATGAATAAATGGGTATTTTTGACAACGCCAAAACATTCAACTGAACTGCATTCAATTCTTCTTAGGTTCGTTTGCAATGGGATAATCAAATTACGGAAACAAGATAGAAGACGTACTAAACAAGAGAGCAAGCCTGCGATGATGAGTTCAGGGATTATGCAACTAATGAAAATTACCATAAAGCTCAAAAAAAGGAAAAGAAAAAAGAACTCAAGAGAAAAATATGGGACAAACCTCAGATTTTGTATACCCCAACGAAAACAATGAAAAAACTTCGGCCAGAAATCTGTCACCTTCACTATCCGGGACTGTAGAGCATAAAGATATATTCCAAAATCAAAGAGCTCGGTGTTGGGTGAACTTATAGGGCATACATCATTTAGAAATGTGTGATTTCCGCGATTGAAATCACAATAAAATGATTCACTGACACATCCAGTCTGATTTCCACAAGCTTTAAGCCAACATGTAGCTTCTCGTTCTATAGCGAAGAAGTACCATGCAGCTCCAACCACCTAAAAAATTTGCAAGTCACTTGATGATTCCAATGATTAAAAGCCATTAAGAATATCTCAGGATATACAAATAAAGGAGCCTTTAAGCTTTATTTGCCAAATAAGCTTTTAAAAATTAAATGCTGGTGAAGCATTGGACAGAACTCCTTAGATCAATACAATGTCTAGGAAGAAGAAGCTTCTAGGAAGTAGGTCATGTGCATTCCTGGACTTGCAGTTATCAACCATTGATGAGTAATTAGTTACTAATAACTGAAACAGATAAATCATTGCCAAATAAAATAATATAAAAGGTGGTCACATATAAAAATTCCATATGGCTGGAAAAATGAGTGCAAGTCAACTTACATGACCTGCAAGGATGTAAAGTAAGAGATTGAATGCAGCATTCACCCATGCAGCTTCAGAAAGTATGCCAGGAGAACTTTTGTGCCTCTTAAACAATGGATAAATCCGAAGAACCCTTGGTATGTATTGCAAGATAACGACAGATTTCAACACACCCATGGCATCCAAAAATCTCAACCGTTTCATTGTTGGAATAATAAGTAAAATCACCACCTGAATAGTTAAACTTTAAGGTAAGCATCAGTGATTAAGTTCTAAAGCATCTGACTAAGTTTAACTGACAAGTGACATTGGCACTACCATCACTAACAAGACAGCTGAAACAAACAAGCCCATGATGTAAACAACAAAAACAGGATGATGATAGACTATAAGCAGAGTAACAAACAACTGACTATTGTACTATGTTAAAACATTCAACCTTTTTTTTTTTTTTTGGGTCCAAAAAACCATTTAACTAAACCAATCAGCTATAGCCTACAGTTCAAAGGACCTAATTAACCTCAAAACAAGGTCACAAGAAACAATAAATTTAAACAGCATGGAAGATCACACTACTGAACGTAATTATATATGTAGGGAAAATTTTAACTAACAACAATCAACAAATAAAGTCAATCATGATCCAAAGAAAGCTTGTTTTAACAAAAGTCACTAACCACTAACCTGTGGAAGGGGAAGAACTGCAAGTATGTCAACCGGAAAGAACCATGACAACAAATATCTCCTCACTATTTTCCAGCAATTTTTGTCCATATTATCTCTTATATGTAAGAAAGGAGCAAAAAGATCAGTCTGAAGTTGACAAGCAACGCATATAATATAAAAGCAATCAATAACTGAACGCAGAACAATTGTTGTAACCCCCAATTCGGTGTCCAAAAGAAGGCACTTCTTATCTTCATTGACCACAATGATGTAGAAAAACACAGGATCAATTGAGAGTGCAATTACAGTTGATAGTAGAAATATCCTATTCCATTGTTCACAGTAGGGTCCGAGCGGATTAAGAATGCTCTTAATTTCCTTAATAACTTTGTCAAGAGGCGGTTCACTATTTCCGGACATTTTCACTGCTTTCCCTTCAAATTCCATTCTCCAAATCTGAAGAACACATAAGCGGCAGAAAAAGAATATCTGTCAATAATGGCATTGCACAATGTTAAGGTTGATCTCAGATAATCATTTTTTTTTTTT